CCTAGGTGTGCAGGCAGGGTGTGTGTGCCTAGGTGTGCAGGCAGGGTGTGTGTGCCTAGATGTGCAGGCAGGGTGTGTGTGCCTATGTGTGCAGGCAGGGTGTGTGTGCCTAGGTGTGCAGGCAGGGTGTGTGTGCCTAGGTGTGCAGGCAGGGTGTGTGTGCCTAGGTGTCCGGGCAGGGTGTGTGTGCCTAGGTGTGCAGGCAGGGTGTGTGTGCCTAGGTGTGCAGGCAGGGTGTGTGTACCTAGGTGTGCGGGCAGGGTGTGTGTGCCTAGGTGTGTAGGCAGGGTGTATGTGTGTGTGCCTAGGTGTGCGGGCAGGGTGAGCATGGAGGTGGAAGCTGGTGTGTCTGCACACTGGAGTCACAGGGGAGCCTGTCCCACCCACTCCCGCTCTGCTCTCCCGCTTGGGCGCCTGGGGTCTGCACTGCCTGGAGCCTCGATGCTGGTCAGATGCACCTTGGGGCCGGGGTCCCCCTGGATGCCGCTGTGGCGCCTGCAGCTGCAGGGTGGGCTTGCGGCAGGGCTCCTCCTGCCTCCGGGACCCTCCCTCCTCCAGGCCTGGCCTGCTCTGGGACCGCAGGAGGGGGAACTGGCCCGTGGGCTGCGGCAGTGTTGTGGTGTCTCCTCACCTCTGGGGCCACAGAGAACTCCCGGGGACTGGCCGAGCTGTTCCTGAAGGCCACCTTGTGTCCTCGCAGGGGCGTGCGGCAGAAGGTGCAGCTCACCATCGCCAAGGCTTTTGGCATCAGCGTGTCCTCGCTGTACCTGACGAAGCCCACCTTCTTTTCCCGCATGAACAGCTCGGAGGCCCGGACAGCTCACGATGAGTACTGGCATGCACACGTGGACAAGGTGGGCCCTGGGGGCTGCCAGCTGGCCTGCTTTCTTCTGCGTGGCTGTTGGGCTCGGCCGCAGGCATCTGCTCTGCAGCGTTTATGTCCTGACACTCTGGGCCTTTTCTCCGGGGCGTGAGGGCACACCCTAAGTGGAGGGACAGTTTCCCAGGTGTCAGTGACAGAGATGAGAGGTGATGTGCTGTCCCCAACATTTACCTCCTGGCCACCTCCCATGCTCCCTCTGCTCACGAATTCACGCCCTGCCCACCTCCCCGGCTTGGCCTCTCCTTGGCCTCTCAGTTGGTGGAGTGCTTGCAGCACATGCACAAGGCCCTGGGTTCCATCCCCAGCACCACACACACACACACACACACACACACAAAGTGGGGGTTACTGGGGGTGTGGCTCAGAGGTTGAGAGCCCCTGGGTTCAATCCCCAGTACCAAAAAAAAAAAAAAAGAAAAAAGTCTGGGCCTGCCCCCACCTGAGGGAAGCAAAGTGCCCTCCTCTGGACACTGCCCTCCTGCTTGGTCGCACCTCCCGCGGGAGCCTGCCCACCAGCTCCTTGATAGGCCTCAGCTTGTGTTTTGCTGGAACACGCTGCTCAGGTGCCTGGTGCCTGGGAGGCCCCAGCTCGGCACCACCCTGTGCACTCTGCAGGTTCCCACGCTGGAGGGAGAAACTGGCCTGGGGCCAGGACCTGTGGACACCAAGGGCGCTCCCTCCTGAGCCTCCTTCCCACCTCCTCCGCAGGTGACCTACGGCTCCTTCGACTACACCTCGCTGCTCTATCTCTCCGACTACCTGGAGGACTTTGGCGGAGGGCGCTTCGTGTTCATGGAGGAAGGGGCCAACAAGACAGTGGAGCCAAGAGCAGGTAGGACACACAGGCTGGCCAGCAGGCCAGGGCCTGGACGTCACCTTGCCTAGTCAGTGACCACCTCACACCTGTGCATGTGTGTGGGCCGTGGGTGGGCAACTACACTCGGGCAGTGCTGCGTTCGCAGAGCGCCTGCTGTATTTTAGGCTTGATGCTGGGGGTGTCCAAGTCCACCTGCTGCTGTGATACCAGGAAGCCAGTGTCAGTGGCTTGAGGTCACTGCAGGTCAGTGGCAGAGCCGGGCACCTGGTGGCATCACTGTGGCACACAGGGTCCCGGGCCCCCGGGGTGTGAACCTGCTCAGTGCCCTTCTCAGATATGACCTGGGTCAGGTGAAGGCTGCGCAGGGCTCTGTGTCCATCTCCAACACCAAGAGAGTGAGTGGCAACGTCCAGCGTGGCTTCCCGCCTGACGTGGGGCACACGTGGCCCCTCAGCGGTCACCTGCCCGGCCCCACCCACCTCCTCCCTCAGAGCCCTGGGTGAGGGGCGGCTGGAATGCCCCAGGCTGCCGCCCACGCTCAGTGGTGACCCTTGGAAGGTGAGCAGCACAGTGCCTGGCCTTGGTGCTCCCATCCGCAGGGGGCTCTGGGCACTGAGTGACGTGCAGAGAGGAGAAGTAGCCTGCAGGACGGACAGCAGGCCAGGGGGGTGGCCTCTGCTCTCCAGCAGGCCCCAGGCCGTTTGGGCTCTAGGACCCAGGACCTGGGGCCTCCTTCATCCTCGAGGCTCCTGGTGCCTGTGCAGAGGCGGACCACGGCACGCAGGGCAGGGCTCTCTGAGAAGGACAAGGAGCGCCAGGCGGACACCTTGCCCACAGGGGCCTCTCGCGGGAGGCAGAAGGTGTCCTGCAGTGGGCCTGCACCTGGCCTGCGGAAGGTCCTGAGTCCATGGCCCGCAGCCACGTGGTCCACAGTGCCCCTGCCTGCTGTGCTGCACCAGGTGGGCACGCTCGAGGTGTGTCGGGCCCGGCTGGCCTTGGTGCTCTGTCCTGGGGGTGCCTGTGACCCCTGCTGGCAGCCCCAGTCCTAAAGCCAGCCCTGTGCTGAGCCTGGAAAGGTCAGCTGGGTCTGTCCACCTGGGTCTGTTGGGTGTTGGACGCCAGCACGGTGGGAGGCAGGCAGGTCCAGGGATGCGCCTGCATCGGGGCGACCATGGGGGGAAGCCACGGGAGGTGCTGGGGTTCATTCTGGGGGTGCTGGAGGTCTCATGAGGAGGCCACACCGCAGGGACAGAGTGGAGGGTTTCCCCTCGTGTGGGGGGTTTGGACACACACTGCTTTTCCTGCAGCCTAGGGGTCACGGCAGAAGCTTCCAGACTTGCGATCCTCCTTTCTCAGCCTCCTGAGCTGCTGGGGTTGTAGATGGCCCTTTGCTCCTGGCCCTGTGGCACTTCTGCCATCACCCCACAGTGGGCTTGGGCTGGGGCCTGCTCTTGGACACAGTGCTGTGGCCGCAGTCCCCCTAACAGGCCTCCCCCTCTAGCTGGGAGGTTCAGCTGGCTCCGTCCTGGCCTCACTCAGTCTTTTGTCACCAGTTTGGCCAGATGTCTGTCCAGCTGCACAGCAGTAGTGCAGCTGGCCTGTTCTCCAGAAGCTCAGTCAGCACTTCTATGGGAAACCTGTGGACTGCAGCTCTTCAGCAGGTCTTGCTTTTAGACATTTTAAGCATGAACCTGGTAGGTACAGTGGTCACGCCTGTAATCTCAACAACTCAGGACCCGGAGGCAGGAGGACTGCACCTTCCAGGCCAGCCTGGGCAGCTTAGTGAGGCCCTGTCTCAAAATAAAAAATGGGAAAGGGCTGGGGGTGTGGCTCAGTTTTTCAAGTGTCCCTGGGTCCATCCCAGTACCAGAAGGGCGAGTAGACAGAGAGACGTAGACTGAATTCAGGGTACTTTATTACTGAGCTACATCTCCAGCCCTTGTTTTTTAAATTTTTGGGGTTCTTTAGGGATTGAACTCATGTACACTTAACCACTGAGCCACATTCCCCAGCTGTTTTTTATATTTTACCTGCAGACAGAGTCTCGCTGAGTTGCCTAGGCCTCACTAGGTTGCCGAGGCTGACTTTGAACTTGTGCTCCTCCTGCCTCCGCCTCCGAGATGCTGGGATTACAGACGTGTGCCCCCCCCCCTGGGCTTATGTAATTGCATTTTCATGAAACCTGGGTGAGGTCACAGGTCAGCAGGTCAGCAGTTGTCTCCATGAGTGGCAAACAGGTTTTTTGGGGCCCGCCCTGCGCAGGGTTTCTCAGCTCTGCACCAGGGTGCGGGCTCATCCAGGGCACTTTCCTCCCCTCTTCAGACTTGGCCAAGTCGCTCTCAGGAGAGGAAGGGACGGGAGGCCTGGGGACCTCTGAGGGCTTCCCGCCACCGGAGCCCAGGCTCACTGTGAAGGGGGGCCGCAGGCCGTCTCAGGGCTCTCTGGAGGACGCCCCGCTGGGCCGCGTCTGGGCTGCCATTGGTTTCCACCTAAAGGGGCCGTGGGTGGGTGAGCAGCCTCTCTGGCTTGTCCTCTGTACTTGGTCTCTGTTCTCCACGCGATGAGAAACCAGCTCTTGGACTGCCAGA